CGGGAAAAGCGAACGTTGTAGCTGATGCCCTAAGCCGAAAGGTGAAGGGAGAGTTATCCTGTTGTATATCACAACAGAAGCAACTCATTAAAGAGTTCGCCCGAATGCAGATTGAAGTAGTTGAGTCACTTCCTAAGGAGATTACAGGAAGTATTAACTCGATGAAGATTCAACCTATGTTGAGGGATAGAATCCGGAAGGAGCAAACTTTCGATCAATTTATTCGAAAGATCGAAGAGAAGGTTCATGCTGAAGGAGTAGAAGGCTTTTACCGAAGCACCGATGGGGCTTTAGAGTTCAAAGGCAGAATTGTTGTGCCGAAAGTCGAGTCCTTGCGGAAGGAAATCTTGACAGAAGCACACAGTGCGCCTTATTTAGCTCACCCTGGAAGCACCAAAATGTATCACGACTTGAAAAAGTCGTTTTGGTGGAAAGGAATGAAGAGAGATGTAGCAGACTTTGTAAAGAAGTGTTTGGTTTGTCAGCAAGTGAAGGCTGAACACAAAAGTCCATTGGGACTGTTGCAGCCACTTGAGATTCCAAAGTGGAAATGGGAAGAAGTTACCATGGATTTTGTTACAGGGTTACCTAAGTCGTCTGAGCATCATGATGCGATTTGGGTAGTAGTGGACAGATTGACGAAAGTCGCCCACTTTATGCCTGTGACAATGACGATGTCGATGGACAAGTTAGCTGAGATCTATACGCGTGGAATCATTCGACTCCATGGAGTGCCAGTTACGATCATATCTGATCGAGATCCCAGATTCACTAGCAGATTTTGGGAGAGTTTGCACGAGGCAATGGGCACACAATTGAAGTTTAGTTCGGCTTATCATCCTGAGACAGATGGCCAATCCGAAAGGACTATCCAGACGCTAGAGGATATGCTAAGAGCTTGCATATTGGATAGAGGTGATAAATGGGAGAAGTGGTTACCATTAGTAGAGTTTGCTTACAATAATAGTTACCACGCATCGATTCAGATGGCTCCATATGAAGCACTTTATGGACGAAAGTGCCGTTCACCCCTTTATTGGGACGATGTTGGAGAAAGTCGAGTTCTTGGACCAAAGATGATTGAAGAGACGGTTGAGCAAGTAGCCTGGATTCGAGAAAGGCTAAAGACTGCTCAGAGTCGGCAAAAGTCTTCTGCCGATAAGCATAGAAGAGAGATGCAATTTGAAGTTGGAGATAAAGTTTTCTTGAAGGTTCGACCGATGCGAGGGGTCGTTCGTTTTGGGAAGAGAGGCAAGTTACATCCTCGATATATAGGTCCATTTGAAATTCTGGAGCGAGTTGGAGAAGTATCTTATCGCTTAGCATTACCTCCGGAGTTATCAAGTGTGCATAATGTTTTTCACGTATCGATGTTACGTGCTTACGTGTGCGATCCCGAGCATGTGCTGAAGCACAATGAGATTCAGATTCAGCCTGATTTAACTTATGAGGAGCAGCCAGTAGCAGTTTTGGACCGAAAGGTTCATCGGCTCAGGAATCGAGATATTCCCCTCGTTCGTATTAGATGGAATCGCCACGGAGAGTCAAATGCCACTTGGGAGAGGGAAGCTGATATTAGAGCTCGTTTTCCTGAGTTTGCGTTTTGAGGTATGTTTGTTTTTATATTTCCGAGGACGGAAATAGTTTTAAGGGGGGTAGATTGTAATATCCCTTTCAGTTATCTCAGTTATTATGAGTTATTATTCCAAGAAATAAGTGATTTCGAGTCCAAGATAGTAAGTTATCGGACCGAAATTAAGAATTTTCAAGGAACAAGCCACACGAGTCGTGTGAAGAGACACACGAGTCGTGTGAAGCCACACGAGTCGTGTGGAGAGGCACACGAGTCGTGTGGGATGGAGACGTGATGAAAGTTAGCCTCGGGATTTTGACACGAGTCGTGTGATGAGCCACACGAGTCGTGTGAAGCTACACGAGTCGTGTGATATAGTACACGAGTCGTGTGAGAAGATGAATGATTAAGAGCAAAAGTGTCGGCAAGCCACACGAGTCGTGTGGCAAGGCACACGAGTCGTGTGAGGCCACACGAGTCGTGTGACTCCCCCACACGAGTCGTGTTGCCGACAGTCCAATTGGATTATTGAGAATTCGATTGTGACTTTAACCAAAGGCCATTTTTGATGTTTAAATATGCTTTGGATGGATGAATAAGTAAATCATAAGATATTTTAAAGATTATTTAAGTTTATAAGTTAAATTTTATATTATGATCATTTAATCACTCTATTTGGATGTTTCTCCAATTTGTGCCTATAAATAGAGGCTTAAACCTTAGAGTTTTTACACCAAAATAATTACTAAAGTCATATGAGTTTGTGAGAGAGAGTGAGAAGGAGTAACTTTGGAGAAGTAAGGACATTAGAGTGAAGAATCAAGTTTTTAACTTCACCTAGAAGGAGGTAATTTACTTATCTTAATGTTTCATATTTGAGTTCATGCTTTTATGATAAGTTTACATGTTTATGAGTATGTATATCATGATGTAGAAGTTGGAGTTTATAATTGATAAAATGAGTTAAAGATGTTAAAGATCAATTATGTGATATATGTGCTTAATGAAATGAGATGTTGATTTGCATGAGATTTTCATGAAGATATGAATATGCTGGAAAAGTATGATTTAAATGAATAATTCTTGTGTAAAAGAGGAGTACATGAGATCAAGAATTGAGTGATTTGGCATAGTATAACTTAAGTTATGAATTTTTGAAGATGAACATGTAAGATGAAGTTTATGTTCACTATGACTTTAAATTCTCATAACTTGATGAATATGAATGATTAAATTATGAAATTTTGATGACATGTCTATTTAGAAGTTGAGATTATGACTGTTAAATTTCATAATTTAAAGATGAGAAATGAATGAGTTATGAATATGAGATGGCATATATGTGAAGATGAGTATATATATATACAAGAATATTCATGAGATGATCAAGATATTAAAATGAGATTTTTATGATCTATTCTCATATGAGTGATGAGTAAATTTGATGAAGATGGTTTAATATGTTGAGCATACAATTTTATAAAAATTGTATTAAGTATGGCATATTAATATCATGATTGGATGTGATGTTTAAAAGATGAATATGATTGAGTTTAATTTCACTTTCAAGATGTAAAAGTGAAAAATGAGTATGAGTAAATATGAATGATTTGGAGAATATGATATATGATGAGATTGATTGAGTAAAAGATTGAGAAAAGTTAATTTGAGAAATGATATGATTATTGAAATTTCTATAAGATTTGAATAAGTTATCCGAATGAATTGAGAAAACCGAGCATCTTATTGAGTAAATGAGCATAAGTACTTAGTATATTTGTTTATATATTTTTATGTAGCTTGAGGAGGTTGCTATACGAGAACAACACTTACGAATTTACAAACGACGAAAGGTGGGGACCCAGACTGGGTATTACATTGAGTATAATATTGATATCATGTCCGAGGTATGTAAAAGTTTAAGTTTATACGCTTGGGAAGAAGGCTGATGAGTTGCCTTACGAGTATTTCCTAAGTTCTAATGGAGGCCGTTGAGTTGCCTGAGAAATATCCATTAGATTGTGCACAAGTATCCGATGAGATATCGGTGAGATGAAGTTGAGATACTGGAAGAGTTTTAAGTCCAGTTATATACCGGAGATCATGATATTGTATTATTATTGCTGTTTACTTTAGTATGGGTGTTTTTCGGGGTACAAGAGGATCGTACTCACCCCCATTGTGTTTTTCAGGAAACAGGGTCGGGCCGGAGGTGTGAGCTCGAGACGTTGTGGTGGTGGTTGTGCATTTCCAAGGATTTTTATGAAGTCTTTAATAAAGTTTGTATAATAAATCACGCTTTCGATTATTCCGCTACGCATATTGACTATTGAACTTGCATTTTCTTAAATGAATTTATGATTTGAAGTTTTTATAAATTTGAGAAGGATGGATATGGTTAAATGCAAGTTTAAAGAAAATCTATTTAATTATGTCTAAAAGAGTTATTAGACAAGAGGTTAAAGATAAATGGATTTTCAAGATGTAAGGTTGAGTAGCATCCCGAAATAGTCGCAAAAGATTTCGAAAGAGATATAAGTATTTTCGAAGTAAAAGTTGCGAAAAATTTACTCTGATAAGCGGGGTGTTACACGTATCCCAGCCAATAATGTACTTACTCGTTTGGTTGCACCTATTTTTTAGAAGCATGTACCCAATTAATGCGGTTGCACCTCCAAATAAAAATTACTAATATATATTTTAAATAAAAAATGTATTCAATGAATAAACTAATCATAATTTTGAAATAATTGTTTTTAGTTGAATTCTGCATACTATTTTATTTTGTAAATTGTGTCATTGTAAACTATCATAATATAACAAATTTTCATAGGAAAAATCCATACTTTTTTTATTTTGGAATTGAACACTTGAATTTATTAATTTTTAAATTGTTGTGCAATTCCCAAAATTAGAAAAACTTATTAGTTTTCATTTGCAATTAATCCTTCACATTATGTAATTAATATTAATTATAGGTTTCTGTAATTGAAATTGAAATTATTTCTGTAATTAATTATAGGTTTAGATTAATGCAATGTATTTAAATTATTATAATATGTAATACTACTAATAATTATGTATTAGAATTGTGTTTACATTATGTATAATTTATTAGATTGTGGGGAAAAATACCAGACCCATTAATACGTGCGTAAAAAAGGAAAAGGGATCGAAAGAGGCATGATTAAAATCTACTCTACATTTCGATCTGAAGAGGCATGATCTGAACAGGAATGATTAAAACCTACTCTATATTTCGATATATTTAAGTCCTTTCATGTTCATCCAAACCCATAATAAATATCTGTACGCGCCACTATTAATCTTCCAAGCTTTTTGAACATTGTACAGAAGTTCTTAATAAGAAAAATAATTAATAATAAATACGTAACAGAAAAATAAACTAGCTCTTAAGCATTTGCAGATGGATGCATCGTTCATCATCCGTGTTGACTGCCTCGACATCCCAATCACGGTATTTCTGATAACATTCTTTATACACAGTTGATTATTTTTATTGTTTTCAACTCTTTATTGAAAAATATTAAATTGCAGATTTTACCCCCGTCCGTAGATGCAAATATTCGGTCGAGGTTGGTTGTGAAAATTCATTTGTGCAACCACAAGTGGGACAAGTGGATTGTCGTCGCCAAATTAGTCTGAACAGTGTCATCTTCACAAAAGGTTGGCGTACCTTTCTACATGACAATGGCATAGAAGAAGGGGACACTTTGACAATGGCATAGAAGAAGGGGACACTATTGTTTTCAACCATGTTACAGTTGACATGTTCGAAGTTATTTTTTTCGATAAACAAGGAAGTGTGAAATCTCCTCCCGCTAAGGGAGCTCATTCACCTTATGCTGGTCGAATGGATTTTATGACTTAGATTATTTATTTTTTTCTTTATTTTATATTTGGTAATATGTTATTAATATTAATGAATTAATCAATAGTATTTGGTTGAAGTCTTATGTTCTCGGTTATGTTAATCTAGCATGTCACATCAAATAAATTTAATAATATTTTAATTCATGTAACTCGCCATATAAAATAACCAGTTGTCATAAATTTTCGTCAGTTTCGAAATGTAACCATAATTTCTCGGTCATCGTGTAAATAAAAAAAATCGTCAATTTATGAACATTATTATTTCGAACGGACAAATTTCTAGTTAATCAAAAATATTTAAATAGCTTGACATTCCTGTTGCAGAATAAAAGTCTTCTCGAACGTAGCCATTGCTGTTGCAGAATAATTGTCTTCTCGAACATATTAACTTTGACAGACATTCCATTTTTGTCAACGAGAACTTATACAATATTATGTCAAGTAGTAGTGTTTTAAATACCGTACCGGTGGTCATACCGGTCTACCACCGGTACGCGGTATTACCGGTAGGACCGATAATATCTGTGGTATTACCGGACTAACAAATATAATGATATATATAAATATACAAAAAAATATATAATAACCAATGAAAAAAAAGTAAAAAAAATAAATGACCATAATAATTAATTTCAACTTCTCAATGAAATAAAAATAAAACATTTTAAACCAATGCAAATTTTAAAATTTTAAATTAATATTTTTTTTGCCGGTATTTTTGACCAGTATTTTCCGGTATTTATGGTATGATGCCGGTACAAACCGGTATAACTGTAAATCCGGTATTTTGTATACAATTGTACCGTAGCAATGGCCGGTATCCGGTATTACCGGTAGTATCGGCCGGTACGTTACGGTATTTAAAACATGGATGTCAACAACAATCTTTATATATCTGTATGTAAACATTGAGCATGTTTGTTTAAAGAATTTTTTAAAAAATATTCCAACATTTTATCTCAACCACTTGTTTTAACTCAACCCCACTATCATCATATTATCAATATAATTAAGTAATATCAATCAATCATTCATACACACAACATTAACCTTAATTCACTATTCATCCACTCACATTATTTTAACAAACTATCACTTCAAATCATCCCTCTCCTACTTTACATCAAAATAATTTTAATTATTTTATTTTAAATATTATTTTAATATACTCACTAACACCTAATCATACCACCTTTTTCAAAATTAACCAAACCAAACCAAAAAATCCAAACAAAACAAAAAATTTTCATAAACAAACATGCTAAACATCCAACCAGAACAAAAGATTTAATATTATTAACAAAATGTTGTGAAATTACTCACTTTATCATGTCTCTCCTTTTATGACACACCTGTCAAAATTTAATGATTATCATTAATTGGAAATGGTGATGGTAGACGGTAGTTACGTGTTCACTCTTCACCTCGGTTTATTAAAGGAACTTTTTTTTTTTTTGGCATAAGGATTTAAAGGGGCAAACTCAATCCGAATACAACTTGAAGTTGGGGAACCCTAGTTCAAGTGGTACTGCTCAATCCTTTATTTATTTATTTTTTTCAAAAATCTCCATATATTCCTGGATCTCTTCTTATTTCTAACCTCACGTTATTCTTGGTGTTTATCTTCTCGTTTTTTTTTTTTAAACGTCTCAAATATTTTGGATTCAATTATTTTGTAGCTTTAATACAGCCATGACGAACAACGACGATGTACAACAAATGGCAGCCGTATTTCGGGGACCAGGATGGAGCGAGCAGGACGTGTTGGTGTGTTACAGACTCTTCTTTGAAAAGGCTCTCGCATTGCCCGACATTCACAGGCCGTCGGTGTTCAACTCAATATGGAAACCACTGGCGCGAGATTTGTCACAAGTATTGGGCAGATCTGTTGAAAGTCGGGCTGTTAGAGAACAAATACAACGGCTAAGGAACCACTACAACCTTTTCAGGAAGTTTCTGCAGAGAACGCGCTCAAAATCCATTCTGAAAGTGGCGAGGTTAGGGTGAACCAATTCTATTGGTTATACGTGTGGCCCGAGGTGAATTTTTCATATATTTTGCATTACCTATTTATGTACAGTCATTCTAATCAGTTACATATATTGATTATATATGAATCGCTGCTTTAATTTTTGCTAACAAAAATAAAGAAAAACCCTATCGAACGATTTCTCCAAACAACTGGCTTCAAGTGGCACGACGAATGCATGCTGGTATTTGAAATGAGAGAAGCGGCTAAAATTTGTTTCAATGATGCTATTCAGGCAACTTTTGATGTTCCGAGTGATTCTGAATCTTCATCTGGTGTTTGAAATGACTTGGTATAGGGTGGATCTTGTTGTGGGGTTCTTCTGGTTATGTAATCAATGTTTTTTTTTCCTCTGCTGTGTTCATTTTGATAGACGGTTATTATGTAGTCTATGTGTTAATGGACTTCAATTTACTATCTTAATTTATTTTTATGCATATAACAAGACAAAACTGGAATGTCGAGACACAAACAAGAAAATTGAATCATATGGTACATGTTGGTTGTCATTATGCACGATTTTAATAATAAGAAAAAACCTATAATTATAGGCAAAGATAATTATGAGTGTCATTAATATTTATAGTGAATTTTTTAATAGCGCAAAGATAAGGATTGGTTTGCCCGTAGGGCTGCAAACGAACCGAATGAAACGAACACGAGTTTGAATGAACAAATTTAGAGTTAATTATACATATTTAAATATTTTATGTCCTACATTTTTAGAACACGAACGACTACGTGCGAGGTCGAACAAAATATTTTGCTCGAATTTAATATAATTAGATTGTTTCTTAAAATATTACTACTATTTTTTTTTTCATTGTTAAATTTGAAAAGATATAATATGGTTACTTGTACTTCGGAATTTAAAATTACTTGTACTTGAGAATTTGTATCGATTGCCGGTGGTTTATTTAAGAATTTTTCAGTTAACATAATTTTTTTTTTTAAAAAAAAATTTATGCTTTATAATTTCAGTTTTCAGATATGGTGTTGTGGTATTGTTGAATCGTGGGAGTGGGAAGTAGCAAATAAAACCGAATTAATTAACTTATTGAAGAGGTGTTGATATCCGAATTAATTAACTAAATATTTATAGTAATTTTTTTAGTAGCGCATTTCATGTTGTATTGTTTAGAGTCCATTCACAATAGGACTTGTCCTTAATTTCACGTTCACAACAAATCAATTTAAAAAATAATTAAATCACGTTAAGATTGTGCATAGTATAATCATATTTGTGTTCCATATTTTTATATACATATATAAATGGGTTCCATGCGATTTTTGTTCCTTAATGATTTTAACTACCATTAGTATATCAACTTAATATCGCATATATGGTGAACAATCATATAATTTTATGAGATTCAACTTCCAAAAATTACGTCGTGTACCATATTTCTTAAATTAATAAATGTTCACCATACTAATTTATTCCATAACTTCCATATGTGTATCCACTGAATCACGTCCGGAATTGGCGCACAGTAAGTTGATCTGATTTTTTTTTTAATTATCGTAAAACAACTGGGATCGTCATCTTCATTTCCAGACGCTGGCAACGGAACATACAACCGAAAAGTGATAATTCATTGGACCTTCATCGGACTACAACACCCTTGTAAGTATAATACACCTTGTTTAGATTTGTATAAGTTTAACATCCAGTGTTTTTTGATAGGTCTTGTTTAATTATTACACAGGATTTAATTCCATGGAAAATTACGAAGATATTAGTTTCAACTCACCTGAAGCAACCGATGCCAAAGCCAAGATTTCTGATCACAAGGACGATAATCAAATGCGCGATAATAGTTTTATGTCGTGGGAGGATGCTGAAAAATGGTACATCAATTATGTCAGGAATGCAGGCTTTGATGTTAAACGATGCAACTGCAAGACTACAAAGGAGGGGTTGGTTAAGAATAGGCAATGGGAGTGTTCTCGGGCAGGCTACAGACGTAAAACTTTGGACGAACACCAAAGAATTAGACAGGAAAAACCAAACATGAGATGTGGCTGCAATGCCAAATTCCGTGTTGCACATGATATCAATGGAGGATTATACCGTGTCACCAAATTCGAAAAATCACACAATCATCGTCTTGAGAGTGTGGAAACAGCTCATCGACTTAAGTGTAATAGGTAATACAAATTTTTAGGTTTCAATCGCATCTACAAATTACATTAACAGTACCTGTTTTTTTATATTAAAAATGATGAATAAATTAATCACAGTATTTCTTGTAGGCAAATGTCAGAATCTGAAAAAACATTGTTGATGACAATGATTGATGCCGACATCCGGACATATCAGACGTTGAATTACATTGAATATATGTCTGGTGATCATACAAGCATACATCACAAGAAAAAATGCATACAACTACCTTTCGAAGCAAAGGAATGATACAATGCGTAGTGGTGATTTTAATATTGCTCTCGCTATGCTCGAAGGAGTGAGGATCAACGATCCTAACTTGGTTGTAGAAACAACGTGCGACAATGAAGGGAGGTTAACCAAACATTTTTTGTGCAATGTTTTTCCTCAGGCAGCCTATGTGCAATTCGGTGATATTCTGATTTTTGACAGCACGTACAAAACAAACACATAAAAATTCCCATTGGTATTATTTTCGGGGATAGATAACCACCTGAATACCACAATATATGGTGGGGCATTGCTGCAGAACGACACAACCGAGTCGTACGTATGGTTGTTAACAGTGTTTGTTGCGTCAATGAAAGGGAAAATGCCTATTACTGTTATGACTGATCAAGATGATGCGATGCGTGCTGCAATAAATAAGGTCTTACCTGATGCTAAACACAGGCTATGTGCATGGCATCTCGAGAGAAAATGTATCCAACGAGTTAAGGTCCATGATTTTTGCAAAGTGTTCGGTAATTTCGTAATGAAAAATTGGACAACCGAGGAATTTGAATCAGAATGGGAATTGCAAACTCTCAAACATGGTGTAGCGGATAATCCATAATCCATGGGTCAAAGAAACGTTCAAAAAAAGACATCAATGGTGTGATGCTTACCTTCGAGGGAGTTTTATGGGGATGATAAGGACAACCCAACGAGCAGAATCTTTGAATGCGCTCTTCAAACATGGAGGCACATCCGGTAGGACGATTACAGAGCTCCTCAAATGTCTCCATCGCGTTGTGGGATCGTTGCGTGCGACATTCTTTAAGAAGCAGGAAGATACGGAGATGAATCCGTTGGACATTTCATTTAAAGCACCACTACACGGGATTCAGAATCAACTAGCTGTAATATATACACGCTCCATTTTCGCTAAAGCTCGGAAGGAGATAGAAGACGAGCAGAATAATATTGTACTTAAGAATCAGAGTTCCGATGGAGACTCACATGTATTCAAGCTGGAAAGATATGGTCATGCAGAACGTAGACGTTTCACTGTACGCATAATTTTAAGTCAAGGCAAATTCGAGTGTGATTGTAGAATGTTGGAAACTGATGGTTTACCATGTAGTCATCTCATTACCACATTCAAGTACTTGCATCTTCGAAAAGTGCCCGTCCAATGCATACGCAACAGATGGACGACAATTGCTGGAAAAGAGCTTAAAGAAGAATTTCACTAATTACCTGCAACTAATGATCCCCAACGGATAAGGTATTCTCAACTGTATACGCAATCAGTTGACATGTGTATGAAGGCGTCGCAGAATGAATCCGATACTTCAAGATGTTTGAAGAAAGTTCGACGTGCAACGGATAACATACATAATAAAGTAGAAAAAGATACGGGAAAATCAACTGATGATATCGATAAAGAATCACAAGTACTTAAGGATCCAGGTAGAGGGTGTAAACAGAATGAAAATTCGGGCGACCCACGTAGGACTAGGTCTAGAGGGGCACCGCCAGCAAAGAAGCAAAGATGCAAATCATGCGGGTACATCCATTATACCTTACACATGAAAATATTTATTTTAAGACACAAGGATGTACTTTATTTATTATTTATGATATGCGACTCGACTTTTGTTTTGCAGTGAACCTGGGCATAAAACGACTACATATCATTTGAAGATATCGAGTAATCAGCCGTCACAGTCTGAATTTGGAAATGAGGATGACTTTTTCACTCCAATCGGAACTCAGTTTAATTGAAATGAATACAGTGAGACACGATTTATTTTTTATGTATGTTTGGGGAGAGGGGTTAAGTTCCAGTGAGCTACTTAAACAGTGCTTTAGCCCTTTATTGCAGGTGAAATACCTAATATAGCTTTGGAGTGAGGGGCTCTTGTGGACAGGATGGTGTGGCATGGGCAAAGTGAAATAGTTGTTTTTTAAATCATCAAATTGAAGATTGAACCGGAGATGCAGACTCATCTTGAAGATCATGAGCATATTGTATGTTCTGAAGACAAGTATGTAATATGATTTTTTTGTAGTTTGTCCGCTCGAAGTGAAATGTGTTTTTTTCCTGGTTGTCTAGCTGTGCCTCTTGGTAGACTTGTTCAATTGTAATCATTTGGCTATGCCGTATTCGAACTTGCTTATTTGATTTTTAATTCAAGTATGTCGCTTGGACAATAAAGTAAAATAAAAAAATAAAAAAATTGGCTAAGGTTTGTAATAAAATTTATGAAAATCTAATGAAGGAAATAATATACAATGAACAGCGAGATTCACAAGTAGTTAAAGTACCCATCATATTAAACAACAAAAATAGTCAAAACATCAATGTCAAAGTCAGGCTAGTGAGATTTAACAAGTTTCATCCAACAAAATCCAAACTATTTCATCAGTGAAATATCCATAATAACATAAACTTACAGAATGACATGTCGGTCTAATGCCGACGAAGGTAATCCTGAAAGCCGTCAACGTCGCTTACATGAGAGAAAGCGTCGGATATGGAATCATCAAAAAAAGTTTCATTCATCGGTTGATCATTCGCAGCTGGGGTATCGCAGTTTGTCTAGTCGACCACGTCTCTCGAGATTGTCTTAGGCTCCATTTCATCAGGATACTCGATCAAGCGGCCTAACGGTCAGAAGCTTGCCAGTAGTGTATCCCACTTCAGATCCGGTTTATCAAACAAGTAGAATGAAATTTCCCAATGCTTGATTACAGGAAAAAATATATTGTTAAATGGCATGACAAAACATAGTCCGAAAAACAGATGTTCGGAACCGGATAATTCATCTTTACCTCAATGGTGACATCTTGAACGATAACGGGTACATGCATGGTAAAATTGTAGGGGTCGTGAGATACATCCTTCTGCTCCAACAGCCAATTCATTGTACGATACCTTTCTTTGAGGACATTGTACATCTTCCAAGTTTGCTTCAAAGAGAACCCAATGTTTATCTCTTTGACAAATGTTGCATGGATCACCCTAAAGTTAAGACAAATGTCTGACTCTTAGTTCATGCGCTCCATTACGACGAAGCGCCGCAAAATCACACAAAATCTGTCCTCGATCCCTTGCTCCCACTGTTTGAGCATTCCATCTCTAATATACTTGAAATGGCCACGCTTGGTCTTAGGAAATGTAAAATCATCCATTGGTGCTTACTTTTGTTGTGTTTTTGCAGCACTGCAGAATTTGAAGTGATGGTTTTGGTATGAAGGGAGATGAAAGGTTACCGGTTGTTTTGGTATGATGGGAGAAATAAAGGTAACTTGTGGTTTTATATTTTGTTAAGTGTGCTTTTAGGGTGTGATTGCACTGATTGGTTGGGGTTCAACAAGCATTAACACCTTTTGTGCTATTTTGTTCAAGTATGCATGGCCCTTTAAATTGATGCAACCCTTGGTACACCTCATCACGTGGGCTTGCCGGATTCATTTTCCCATTAAATTGCTTTGTTGACATTATGTCCAAATTGCCCTCATATATAAAAATAAAACTTGAAAATTGGGCTGCAAATGGAACCCTAAGCTCCGCAGCTCCTCCTCGACACGAAGGTATGCAAGGTAAATGCATGTTATTTTTGTGTTGTGTGTCTTAGGTGAGATTTAATTTCGTTGAATTTCGCTGAATTTTAGTTCATTTCATCCAATTTTTAAAACAGAACTCACCGAAGACAAGATAATTGGACACAAGGGTTTTCGGAGACTTTGCTAGTGTCCAGTTTCTAGGTAAATTGTACGTATTGGTGTCTGATTTGGACCTGTGTTTTTCGCCTATTGGCCATTGTCTGTGAGTCCTTTTTGTTTTCATTTCGAACTTTGATGGTAAATTTATTGACACTATTAATTACTGAATGTTGTCTTTCTTAATTTGTTTTCATTGTTGTAGCTTAATTTGTCCATTTATCTGTTGTTTTGGTTTGGTTAGTCCGTTTGGTTTAGCTTTTCAGGATCCTGATAAATGCAGTTTGAACAAGTTATTCATCATTGTGCTTTTTTTTGGATGTACTCTATTGGTTCTGATTTTTTCCATACAAACTGTTAATTGGTTTGCAGAGTTTACTTATATATTTTCACGATGGGGTCTAGATTGGAATGAGCTGCTGTGTTGGATTCTCATCTTATCTAGTTCTCTGTTTTCTAAACCACTCCATTGGAAAAAGACCTTCTCATAAGATATGAAGCTTTGAAAATATAACAACAATGGCACTGTTATGTGTCGATAATTGTTGTGGTAATTAATTTAGTACAACTTTGTGTGTCATAGGCAACATTTTGTGTTTGTCGTACAGTCCAAATGAATAAGGGCAGAGTATAGTTCTTTATTTCTGATATGCTAATTTGAATGTGTTTTTCTTAGGTGTTCTGTCATGACTGACGAGTGGACAAGATTTTTTAAGATCATTCTTGAGACACAAATAAGTTCCCTGGTACGAGGGTCTTTCTAAATAATAACATAACATGTTATGTTATTTTTCGTACTAGATCTGTTGGTGTACGTTGTATTCATCTATATTTTAAACTTCATTTACTTAGTCTCTCCCTCCTGCAATTTGGGAACATTATGGGTCCGAGCTTCCACAAAAATGTATAATCCAGACTTTTGAAGGACGTGAGTATGAAGGAACTCTGAAAATGGTGGATAATCAGCCGACCTTGGTCGAAGGATGGGATGCTTACATTCAGGCAGAATACATTGAAATACATTACATTCTGTTTTTCAAGAGAATCAACAATTTCCATTTCAAAATTATGGTGACGGACAAAACTGGTTGTGAAAGAACACCGGTATACCACTTTTGTTTGGACATAAAAAAATCGCACATTGACCGGGCACTCTTCGTAAGTAAACACTGCTTAAGTCTTTATTTTTTCAAATAAATACTATTTCATATATATTTCCCATCCATTACGCTGAAATGAACTGACAAAAATGCAGCCAATTCCAATACCTTTTTGGAGAGACCACATCGAGGGATAATTTAACAACTACACTAAGGTTGTCATCATGTTCAATGAGAAGGTTTATAAAGTTGATGTAATTCATGGTAATGGCAAGAGATTGTTGCAAAACGGTGGTGTTCGACAATTTGCGATTGATAGTGGCATTTTGGTTGGTTCTTCATGCATGTTCACCCACGTCGGACCACTCAACCCGGATAAAGTGATTAAGTTCAGGGTTAGGATTTGTTAGTAGCAGGGATCAGATTTAGGCCATGACAAACTTATGTTCTTTTTGTTCTTCTCCTGGCTGCTGATTGACATTATAATATCTGTTTTAATGAAGTGTAATGCTACTAGATACATGGTCCTTTTGTTTGGTTGGTAGCCTAACTTTGCTAACTATATTTTTAAGTGTCTTGTGTGTTGATTTGGAATCTTCTGATATTTGTTGTGACTTCATTCACTTTCATGCGGGTTTGAAAAAATAAACTCAATTGACATTGAATTATTGACAATCTGAGAAATATCTGAAACATTAAGATGGTTGTCGGTTGCCTTTCCAAGTTAACCTTATTGTTCATTGTATTGCACTTTCACTTATCTTGCTGATTCCAGTTTTTATAACAAATCATGAATATGTGGCTCATATTAAGCAGTCGTATCTATTAGATATGAACACGCATATATGAATGTCAACTCATAGATAGACGTATACAAGTACATTGTCAAAAATTGCCTCCATCATCAACAACAAGTCTTTTTTTTTTCAAACGACAAACAAACAAATATTATTGCTCAAACCAAAGTCTTACATAACAAGATCGAAGTAGGCACAAAGCAACATTACCCAACACCATGTCAGTCTATGCTACATGAGGAAATAAGATTATAAATCCCCTTGCAAAGCCATTGTGGCAAAAGAAAGTGAAATTGTAGAACCACAAACATCAAATGAAAAAAAAAAAAAAAAGAAAGAAAAAGAAGAGCACACATGATGAAGTCTTCTAACCACTTCATCTGCAGGATCCTCAGCTTTCAGTTTTATATCCACAGCATCCTTGCAGTCCAAGTTGCAGGTTACCTTCTTCAAAATATATCCTATAGCTCTTTCGAGAATCCACAACACACCCACAGTATATGCCTCCATTGAACCTCTACAAGAAGTACTTAGAAGAATCCCACAACAGCAGATTATCCTCTTCAATGAAAGCCCTACCTCCCAACCCCAATCTCCAATTGATCATTTACCAACTAAACCCACACTCCTTATTTCCCAGACAATCCCAAGAAACCCCCAACAGCTTCCAACTTAACTTAGCTCTATGACAAAGAAAATCACATAGAATTTCACACACAACTTCACACTCAATCCCCTTCTTCCTCAATTGGACTCTAAACTAATATACTCAAACCAGCATCTCCAAAGGAATGTTTTGATCTTACTCTGAATGAGAAGCTACCAAGTTACCTTCCACATGTTCAAGATTTCCTTATGATTGCCGCAATCACCCATACTGAGCTCAGAATACCTTCAGTGCTTATTGATGTTGTTGTAGACTTCTTTGACAGAGAAAATGCCTGACCTGCACCAATCCCACACCAGATTATGTCTCAAGCTCACAACATTCAGAGGAATGCCCTTAAGTTTTTGAACCCCAAACCCCCCCATCCTTGGGTCTAGCTAACTTAACAACAAGTCATTTGGCAATTAATTTCCTACATCACATCATCATGGACAAAAATAAACGAGATTAAATCACAATGGATTCCAGGTTGATGTCATACCAAATGGATTAATAAAAGATGTTAATACATATAAATATAAGTTGAATACAAAACTTAAAACAGTACAAACATATCAGGGATTGATCAACTGGCCATTAACAACAAAAACACGAAGCAACACACATTCATCAACCCCATTCCGGCATTTCATCAAACATGTAATATACTCGATAAGGACAAACAAAAGATAAAAGAAACGTTAGTCAACAAATTCATCAGATCAAATATTTTTCCAATCACCAGAAGGATGAACACCATAGGCAAGAAAAGGGAATTGTATAACAAAATCACCAGAAAATATTCGAGATCATGACAGGAAGTTACAATCATATATCAAACAACGTTGCTTGTCTTTACATTTAGAGTACAAAATCACTATAACACAAACGCATTTCAAAAATACCTAGATGAATCGACTGCGCCTCATAAGCATTTGATTGCATCTGTATCCATTTTGTACGTATGGTTCGTGTATCGTTCAAACAATTGTGTCTGCTGGGAGTATAGTTCTGGGATTTTGATGGGAAAAGGAAGAAATTTATGAGAAGTCGATGAAGATGAGGTTCTCGTACAATGAACGAAGTGCAAGAATAATTGTAAGAACAATAAGAATATTTTTTTTTTTAATTCGTATGATGATCAGATGATATAATAATACAAAAGTTGAGGATGTAATCATATGTTATTGTAATTGTAGGATTGTTAGACAAATAAGCTAAATAAATGTCCTTCAAAGTAAATACAATTAACATTTTATAATTAATTTAAGTTTAAATTTAAAGTAAGGGTATAATAGGTTTTTTGCCATGTACAAGGAGTACGAGCCATGGACGAGGCAATTCATGTACGAGGCAGATTCTTTTTTGCCTCGTACATTGAATGAGTGGTTGATATTCAATCTTGAATATATCTAATGGTTAATAAAGGGGGTATCTGATGTTATGCACGTACAAGGGGTACCTGACCCTAGAAGATCCCTAAAACATATCAATTGTTATTTTAATACGAGAAGAACCAAGATTGAAAAATGTAGAATTTTATGGGATCGCATATACGAAGTCCAAACCTAATTACGTGATAATCTTGAAGATATGGGACCAAACGTACACCTAACATAAAATCTAAGTTGGTATTTAGGAGCGAGCAACGGTACATAAAAAACATTAACGAACCGTAAGAAATTAAAAAATTGAATCTGGCAACAAAATAACTAAATCGCACAACTTAAAAAACAAAAAATGAACCAAGAAAATTGTGCACAATAAAATAACTGAACCAAACCGCAAGGTTCAACTCATTTTTTGGTTTTATCTCGATTTTTCTATACATTTTATTCAATCTGGTGATGCATCAAAGCGAACAAAATAAAAAACTAAACATATGAAAACTATAAGCGGACCACATTGTAGGAAAAGATCGTACCAAAATCGAACTAAAAAATTGGTTACATTAAAAAAATTGAACTAAACCACACCAAAATGCACGGTTAAGATCGATTTTCATTTTTTGTTAGTTTTTCTATACCATTTATTAAATTTGGCGCTGCACCGAAGCAAAAAAACCTAAAAGCGAACATATGAAAAACTATAACTGCACCTTATCGCACTGTATAAAAAATTGAATAGAAACCAAAACAAAAAATTGACTACATTAAAAAAACTTAACCGAACTGTACCAAATTGCACAGTTAAGCTCGATGTTTCGATTTTGACTCGGTTTTGTTCACCCCTATTGGTAATAACAAATGCGACATGGTGACTTTTCCTGTCAAGAGAGGAAAGACCTGACCGAATCAAATAGAAGTCGTGCTGAATATAAGTCATGCTCAATGGCCAAGATGTGGTGGTCACATTAATCGCGAAAAAACACGACCACCAAACTTCAAAGTGTTCGAGCCAGACAATATCACATGTAAAGAATTATTAATAAGTCGTTGAATACCTCACCCTTTCCTCTTTNAGAACACATAAGAACAACTAGATTCCAGCCCAACAGCTGAATAAGACAACTAAAGAGGCCCATGTATTGAGAGGACAGATTCGAAGATTGCCTAGAAACTAAACAATTCAACCCCAACTAAAAACAAAAACTACCAATGTAATATCCCTTCTAATTATGAATTAAAGAATCAGTTCCATGATTGAACTAATTATGAGGCCAAGTTATTCAGTTATAAGATGGAAATTGAGAGTTGTTCAATCTGGAGCATCACACGAGTCGTGTGACAAGCCACACGAGTCGTGTGAGGCCACCTGAGTCGTGTGACAAGCCACACGAGTCATGTGGACAAAGAGCAGACAAAAGGTTAGCTTTGGTTTTTTCACACGAGTCGTGTGACCGACAGAAAAATCTGATTATTGAGAATCCGATTGTGATATCATTCATTGTCCATTTTTTAGCATTAAATTTAAGTGTTGATGACTTTTACAAGTTATAAACTGTAATGTTCATGATTGTTTATTTTTATAAGTTTTATTTGTTTATTTGGTTAATTTCTTCACTCAATGATCTTGTCTCAAATTTGTGCCTATAAATAGAGGCCTTGGTTTCAGAGATTTTCATCAAAGAAAAATTACAAAAGTTATATAGTTTATTAGAGAGAATAAGTTATAGAAATTCTTGAGAAGTGAAGAATTTGTGAAGGGGGGAAGAATCGATTTTCTATCAAGAAGAAGGTAATCAACTCGTCTTAATTTCATACTTTATAGATGAGTTTAAATAGTTATTAGTATATACTAATGACTTAAAAGTAAGTTTATAATCAAATTAATGAATGCAAGAAGTTCAAGTTGTTTGAAGATTATTTGTATGATAGATGTACTCGGTTTTAATGAGATTTTTATAATGATAAGAATAAACCAGTAAAGTATGATTTAGATGAGTAATTTATATGTAAATAAGGAGTACATAACAAAAAGAATCAAATCATTTAGCACAGTATAGCTTGAGTTATAGATTTTTGAATTTAAGCATGCAAGTTGAATTTTATGTTTTTTATTTCAGCTGTGACTTTAAAATTCTAATAACTCGATATATATGCATGATAAAATTATGAAATTTTTAAAACATGCTTATATATGGGTTGAGAACATGACTACCAAATTTTATGATTTTATGTTGAGAAATGAATGAGTTAAAATATTATATGGCATACATGTCAAGATGATTTTATATGCAAGAGTATTCAGTACATGGTTGAGTTTGTAAAGTGAAATTTTTATGACAAATTCTCATATGAGTGCTGAGCAATTTGACCAAGTTTCAGTTTAATATGTTGAGTATACGATTTTAGAAAATTGTTTCAAGTCTAGTATATCAATTTAATGTTATGATAAAAACTTGTATTGAATGATCATTAAGTTTGAGATTTTAATACCAAGCAAGTTTAAGACAAGTTTGATAGATTAAAAATCCTTATAAATCATATAGATATATGATGTTGGTAAAAGTTGAAATTGTTTTGATGTACTCGATTATCTATTATGTAAAATTTAGCTTATTTTCACTTACGAGTCATTTTGAGTTTCATGTGAGTAAAATAATATTCAAGCTTTGGAGTCATGATTTATATGTGAAAGTATTCAACCTTAAGTAAAAGTTGAAGAAAAGTATAAGTTTAACAGTTTCAATTTGGAGTTAGTGAACTTTTAGAGTGTTCATTAAAATCCAGATAAGTGATAGAATCAAGTATTCTAGCATCTTATTGAGTAAATGAGCATAGTACTTAGTATATTGATTTATATTTTTATGTAGCTTGAAGATTCAACTATATCATTCAGCACTTACGAGTTTTCAAAAGAAGAAAGGTAGGGACCCAGCCTGGGTATTACATTGACTATAATATTGATATCATGTCCGAAGTATATATACAGTTTACATGCTTCGGATGAAGGCCCTCAGTTGCCTTAACAGTACATCCTAAGTTCTGATGGAGGCCCTCAGTTGCCTTAGAAATATCCATCAGAGTGTGCACACGTATCCGATCAGATATCGGCCAGATTACAGCTTCAATTTCAGTTACTGGAACAGATTTTCAGTCCATATATATACCAACAATCATGTTATTGTATTGTTATTACTGTTTACTTTAGTATAGGTTATTTTGGGGTACAAAAGGACCAGTACTCACCCCCATTGTGTTTTTCAGGTAACAGGTGTTAGTGTCATATACTGAAAGCTTGGCTTTGCATGTTATTACACATTTACCCTTTATGAATGAGAATCATGTTAGATTAAACAAGTTCTACGTTCTGTTGTTCTGCACTTAGATAGTATGGGTCGTCATCGGGCGAACCGAAAATCACTCTATCAGTCACTTGCGAACAAGAATAGTTGTTCACAACCTAGATGGACATGAACACCCCATCGAAAGGTTGTAGTGTCAACTGTACAGTTTGTCTTGACTGATTTGTTGCACTAGTACATTTATGTATTGAACAGGATCCCAGAGAGGAGAAGTTCATTTTATACTGATCGTCGTAAATGAACTAGGCCTCGGTTAATTACTGCATTCTCTTAACCCGTAAGATATTAAACAGACAGATATATATAATATATATTACTTTGATTCACATGGGTGAGGTTCAGTTCGCTGGAATAATATTCCTACTGTTTTGGGTAATATTATTATATAAAAGGATGTGCTGAGAATATTTACGGTCACCATGTGCGTTAGTTTGATGATGTCCCCGGAGTGAGTTCATGAAGGATTGTTATGCTAAACCCTGCAGGTGGATTAAGTTCCGGCATAATAAGAATGTGATGAACGAGCGCTAGCTTCGGTGAAATAATAATAAA